TATGTCTAGCCAGTGGGAACCAGGCTAAAGGTCTTACCTCATGAATGAAACATTCGAAAACCCGCATTCGACATTACTCCGCGCAGTGTAGGCACTCCACACAAATCTCTGTGTTCGCACTCAATAAACATCGAAACAAGTGCAGAATTACAGCACAGTTATCGCATGGGATAAGTGATCGTCTCAAGGCGAACAAACACGACGACGCAGCCGATCGATCGTCTGTGATCTTTGGCTACACCGCTGGCTCGTCTCTCAGTCACTACGAATTCGTTCGTTGGCTCGCGCGCACCTCAAGCCGCAGTCGCAGCAGTCCCCACAGTCCCCAGTTCCCAGTCTCAGGCCCCGGTCGAAAATCTGCAAGCAGCAAAACAACCACAACAACGTGGCCGGTCGACGCGCATGCGCAGAGGCAGCTGGAAAACAAAAAAAAAAAAGTCCCTCCTCGCATGTAAAAAATCTTCTTTCAACGTCTGTGCTGTGCTGTGCTGTGCTGTCTGTGGCTTCTCTAGAGTGTGAGTGGTTTGCTTTGTGGCTCACCAAATTACCAAAGTGTGTATTCGTACGGGGTATTCGTACACAATTGTTTGTTAAAATAATAATAATCATTTGCAATGTGCGCGTAGCTCGCTCGCTCATTCGCTTGTTTGTTTGCTTGTTTGTTCTCCTGTTGACGTTTTAATTTATGTGCAAATGCCGGTTGGGGCGTCAATTACTGCGAGTGAAGTGCAAATATTACAAACATACAAGTGGAGGGAGGGGGGGCGCAAAAAAGTGCCCAAAAATTCCCTGCTGATAATTGCTTATAATAGCTTTGGATTAAGACCCTCCGATAAACTCTTCAGGTTCTAACATTCAACTCAAGTGAAGTGCAAATACTACAAAGATAAAAGCGACAAAAAACCCCCGAAAAATCCCCTACATATATAATTATTCAATATGATTGTGGATTATGGCTGTATGGCTACACTCTTGACGTTCTTTTGCATGACCGTTTTCAAGCAGCTGTATACGATCCTCTTTATGGGTCAAGTAGGATAATTGAAATCAAATAATCAATAAAAAAAAAGAAACAGTGAATTTGTGGCAGTGCTCTCTCATGAGCTCTCATAAGCAGTATGCATATGAATATATATATTTTTTCTATGCAAAATATAATTTTAATAAAAGTTTCATTTTTGGCAAAAGTTTTATGTGGCAAAAGATCGGAAAATAATGAAATAATCTTCTCAAAACTTTTTTCCACTGCTTGCTGCTATTTTTATTTCCCGCTTATTTAATTAATCCAGCTAATAATTAGAACAAATTAAATTAAATGTAACCTTGTCTCTCTCTATCTCTCTAAATCTCACCCTCCAACTATCCATCTATATCTCCCTGTGTCTCTCTCTCTCTCTCGAATGTGTCACGTGTTCGTTTTGTTGTCTCTATGACTCCTTTGGGCTTTGCTTCATTCAGTGCAAAACGTATTAATGATAGATATTCGCGAATGAACAGTTGCAGCAGCAGTTAATCGATTGTCCAAATATGTGGATAAGCTATTAAGATGTGAGAAGCAAGCAAATGTTGGGCCTCTGGTGATGAGAGCACCCCAGCGGTGAAGGTCGCCCCAAGATCGTGCAAAGAAAGTGCTAAGCCTTGATGGAAACAATGGAAACAAATCAAAGAACACTTGAACAACATTAAATCCCGCCCGAAAAGCACATGGCGAATGCATTACTGATCAGCTGACTCTCAAGTGCTCGGACTAACGGCGCTATCTTGAAGTGAAGTGAAGTCTCGTTGCTGTTATCACCCGCGGACTGATCGGTAGATCGGCGGTACTGGCCGTATAATTACTATCTGTAAAATGCACTTCCGACTAATTACTAACTGTTTAGCTGTAATTTACCGCTCATAACTATGATTTTGATTATTGTTTCTGGAGGTGATTTTTTAATGACCGTCCGTCCGTCCGACAGTCCGCCCTCCGTCAGTGTCAGTGTTTGCCAATACTCAGTTCGGGTACGGGGTTCGGTGTTCACAGAAATTTCCCTGAACTGCCAGCACAAAGATCAGTCAACAGCTCACCGCACCGCACCGCAATTTCTTGTTTGTTCTTTCAACTTAAAGTCAACAGCAACGGACGCCCCGCCTCGCCCCACCCTTTGCGAAAATAAAGCTTACGAAATGGCATAAATATATCTTTCTATTCTGGGCATCGAAATCCCATTTAAAATTCCCCCTCCAGACCCCAGCGAACGGGGCGGGGAGTCATAAATATTTAAATATTAAGTAACACGAGCACAGAAAACGTTTTTGGCCAACCGTCTGACGCGATGACAATTTGTTGTTGCCATACAGCAGCAGCAGAAGATTATTTAAAAGCTTGAGCAAAGAGACTCGTGGCAAAAGAGTCCAGAACTGGTTCCAGCCTCAGCCTCAGAAAAAAAAACACAAAAAAAAAAAACAAAAACAAAAAAAAATAACCATAAACATAAATCGAGGAATATGTCACAAGAATTAAATAAAAACGAATCAAAATTTAGCAACTCATTCGCACTTCAAGACGCATTCAATAATGGGGGAATTTTACTGGCCCAAAAAGAATCGAAAGCAAGCAGCAAGAAAAATGTATTGTACAATTCCAAAAAAAAAAAAAGGTTAATTCGTCGAGTCATTAGACAAAATGCACCATGACTTACCAAATAATCTAAAGAAATATGAAAAGTGAGTGAGAAAAACTGCATGTTAATGTCTATAAAATTATCTGCAAACTAAAGCGTCTAAAGGCGCAGACGACAGACACCAAAGGCCCAAAGACCCACAGACAGAGCCCCCCCCCCAACCGACAGCGGAGAGTGTCTGAATAATTGCGAAACAACCTAAGGGCCCTCGAAACGAGGCATAGACTCATACGAACACAAAAACACACTCTCGCATCGAGAGACTGACGCGGCAAGCGACTGACTACTGCCAGATGGAACTCAGACTTTTGAGCGTGACGAGAATGAGATACTCAGGCCCGAAAAACCCAGAGCTGGCAGGAAATAATGTGCGGTGTTCCTCGATAAAGCCAACCCATTAGCATAAACTATTTTGGAATATTATGATCTATTTATGGGCTGGCTCCTGGTTAGCGAAATCGTTAGGAAAACATCAGCCTTCTATTTTAAGGTTTCTTATTCCTAATTGATCTGCTCTCGATCTGCTCTCCTTTCATATTTAATAAATAGCTTTATACCTTTCGAATTTATTGATCTACCTGAATCTGATTGTGATATGATCTAACCTCAAGCAAAGTGCATGGCAGCCCAAGAACTCCCTTTTAATATGAACCTCTTGTGAAACAGTTCCCTAAAGCTTTGATCAGATTACTGACCTGAACCAAAATTGGCAAGCTGGCCCAAAACCATTCCATCCCCAAGCCAAAAAGCCTCGGCCACTGGGGCAGGTGTACATATACAATATTGGGGGAAAAAACCAAGAAAAAATACAGACAAAAGCTCATAATTAAAGTGCAAAATCGACAAATCAACAAAACTGCTTGACCGACTGATCGGTGGATTGACCGATCGACAGTTCGAGCGCTTGACCGACGAATCGTCGTTTCGAGCATGGGGAGCCACGTGAGCGAATGGTTTTTGGGCCAGAGACCGCCGGCCCAAAAGTATGTGTGGAGGTCGTTGGTGTGCCAGCTTAAAGAGATGGCTTAGATGTGGCCCGCATGGAAGTGTATTTTGGGGAGGAGGGTTAAGTGTATGCAGAGACCCCTGCTTTATGGGACATTTTGCTAATCAGCCATATGCGTGGCGATTGCAAAATTGTCTTAAAATGAAAAATGCAACAAAAGGAGCTCGTTAAAAGTAAAGAGCTAAGAAATAATGAGAGGCCAAAAGACAAAAGACAGAAAACAGAAAACAGCCACAAAAACAGAAACAGAAACGGAAACAGAAAGAGAAAAACACAAAAGAAAAGACAACTCTTCACTTTTTCTCTGAGTGGCCGTCGCCAGTCGTTAACTTCTTCATACATACACTCGTAGTGTATTTTGGCTGGTGGTTTACTTTTTGGGGAGCGTGTAATGAGGAAACAAAAATCGAAAGTGTTACGCGGGTGTCTCTCTCGCTCTCCGAGTCGAGTCGAGTCGCCCAAAGTATGACCCGACTGGGCCAATGTGGGTCGCGCCATTTGCAATTAAAGAGGCAATGAAAAATGAAATAAAGCACAGGCCAGGCGTAGCCAGCAAGACCACAAATAAATTAAGAAAAGGGCGTCCCAAGTCAATGCAGGCGGCAAAATTTGAAATGCGTTTCATACGCGTGCAAAGTGCAGAGGCAACGCCGGAGAAAAAAAAAACCCATTTAATGCGAAAATAAAGTTGCACATGGGAACAAACTCAGCAAAATGCGGAAAAATAAACGCAAAAATAAAACACCCAGCCCAAAATGAAACAAAAACCTGCAAACTGATGAATAATAAACGTGACTTGATTGTTAAGCCATGAAATTAATTTAGCATAAATTGAGTGTGTGCTTTGCATGGCAGCAGCTGCCAAGGAATGGCATGGGATGGGATGGGGCGATGGGGTGGGCTGGGATCAAACAGCTGCATAGATTTATGTACGCCTAATTGATTTCCATTTGACAAAGAATCTAGCCATAAATTCAACAACTTAAATGCTCGACAGCCCATCACTGACAGGGAGCGTCAGATTTGTGGGCAAACAAATTTCAAATGAGTACAAAAATCTGTCAAAAGAATTATACATTACATCCGTCAGGCTGCAGGATGCAGGGTTTAAGTGAGCCTACTATTTTTCAATTTATTTACTCAGCAACGCTTTAAGCAAATGTCATTTCTGACATTAAAACTATAAGAGAAATATGTGTACATATTTGTTGCCAGGCTAGAGCAGCACAACAGTTCCATATACACACAACAGTTCTATATTTTGTACAACACATTTTATTCAAGAAACAAATTCGTATACATATTTAATAACTTATCAAAAACTGCGACCAAGTCATTGATCGCCTTGCGATTGGACCGAGATCAAGAGCAGGTAAATAAGTTATCAAAAGAGTCTTTCATTTGTCTTGCATAAAAACATGCAAATAAATAATTTAAAATTCAAAAGATTTCCGTACAGTGTTAAGTTGGCTGCGCAACTAGAACTCATGTAACGGTATTTGCACACACAATTTTTCATGCAATTATTTAGCAAGAAAACGCAGTAATAGTTGACCTTAATTTGCACCACTCAAAATCAAGTTCAAATTTGGAATTTTCCACACTTAAACAACACGAATTTTTGTCAAGTCCCAGACTAAGCAGAACAAAGATCAGTTCGGTGACGAGAGAGACAATCGAAGCATGAAGAACTTCATTAGGCGCCAACAACAAATTGCTTTGTTAATTTGCCAAGTCATTTCGGGAGGAGGCGTGTCAGTGCGCGGGTGGGTTGGGGTGGGGCGTCCGTTTTTTCAGGTATCGCTCACTCCTGCCCATATCCGATGTCGCTACAAAGTTGTTGATTGTCCAAGACACCAGCGACACCCGGACCAGACCGGACCGTACCGGGCCGTCGTCGTCATCATCATCCGCGTCGCATGACGCGACAAAAGAGCGAGAGAGAGAAAAGAAACAAAAATTATGTTCATGTCTGTCTGTTGCCGTTTTGTTTTGGTTACGGACTTCGCCGTGTTGCCAATTAAAAATAGCCGCTTGCATAATTTCCTCTCCACGGGCGGAGTCAGGTGCACAGCACAGAGAAATGAGTTCTGCTTAGGCGGCATCGGAGGCGACCCCAAAAGCGTTAAGCCAGAGCCGCGATTTGGGGGCGGAGAGCAGAGCAGACCAGATTTAACTCACTTCCTGTAACAGATAAAATGCGACAGATGCGTGAGGCGCTGGCAGGCGAAGTGGAAGTGAAAGTGCAACCGCAAATGGCAATTTGTTAGCCAAGAGGAGAGCACTCCAAGCCACAGACTCTTGTGATACACTCTCCGCGTGGGGAGTATACAGCCAGATTAAGTAGAAATTATAGTTCAAATTCTGCCAAGTTTAGTTAAAGATCTTGGCAAGGGCATACATTCTTCGGTGCTCCGAAATGATGCAGCTTTCACGCATTTTTTCTTGCGTTATGTAAACCCAAGCGGTTGCTCTCTTTCCGATTTTTGGTTGCAGTTGTCTGAAGGCGGCGGCGTGGGCGAGAGCACAGGAGTTGCGATGACAGCGATGCTGGCACAAAGATGATCGAGGCCTTTGCGAATCACCTGAGCAGTCACCTGGGACGTCACCTCTTCTACTGGTCGATTGATACGAATACGACGGCACCGCACGGCGGAGCCAGCAGCGGCCGTGGCAGCGGCACCGACGGTGGCAACTACGGCCTCAATCTGCGTCTCTCCGAGCTAATCAACAAGTTCCACGGGCCCCTCGAGCGGGGCGTGCAGGTGCTGGATCATCTGCTGACCCTCGAGGAGGACGATTTCGCCGGCCACTGGGGCAGCGCCTACGCGCACAACTATGAGCCGGAGTACGCGGTTCGAGTGCCGGAAAACGAGGAGATGCCCCCGCCCGAACACAGTGAGTATTACGGGGGGGGTGGGGTGTAGTGGAATGGGGATCGATCTACCAAATGACTAAAAATTAGTTTGCGCAAAGGTCAACAACATTTTTTGTTGTAATTTTCGGCACAATCACCAGCACCGCCCCTCTGCCGGCTGCTGCTGCTGCAGCCACATAAAAAAAAAAAAAACAGAAACTGGTTTAAATCGCGGTGGTCTGTGCGTGTCTGCGCGTGTGTCTGTGTGGGAATGTGCTAAGAAATAAACAAACCTTCGGCACGTTGGAGCGGTTGGGTTGGCATCGCCGATGACCAACAACCCAAAACCCAAGCAGAACAGCCGTGCCGCCGGCGATCCATCGAATCGATTTCAAGTTCAACACATTTTATGGTCGTTTTAAATATGCACCGTCCAAACTAAAGAATAAATAATAAACAAGACCATATTTGAGTCAAGTTTAAATCGGTTGAGTACATGCAAATACCCAACAGAAGCGAGGCAAGGCTGCGTGAGAGAAAGATATTTGGACAGAGACAACAACGACAACGACTGTTGTAGAAGCTCTAAGATCGTCCCTTGCTGTGTGCTCCTACACGTACGCTTTGACGTTGACGCGCTTTTATGGTGGGCCATGACGGAAATACATATTAGCCGCGAATGGCCATGATATAATCAATGAGTTGCGAAATTGGAAGCAAAGCAAAGCTGGCAGCTCATTCAAATTCAAAACATGCGCGCGCGTTGCTGTACGTTTAGCAGCACTCCATTTGCGCTGTTAGCCAACACTCTAGAATCTAGTGTGACCGTACGATCGCAAGAAAGGCCAAAAACCTATCGTTATCGCTTCGAGAACAAATCAAACAATAAAAACAGCCAGAGAAAAATAAAAATAAAAGAGGAAAAAACAATGACATTTGGCAGTGCATCAGTGCATCATCCGCTTAATTGAAAGCAAATGTTTGCATTTCACTCGCTTTGCTAAAAGCCAGCTCAGCCCACCGCGAAAAGGTCGGTTGGGGCGCGGTGCATTTTGCCTGACCTCCAGATAATCGCATTTTTCACATTTCCACTGCGACATGGCCAGCAGCAGCAGCAGCAATAATCACGGCAGTAATAATGGCAACAACAATGCCCTGAATCGGCTATCCCTGAAGTCGGCCAACAAGCGCAACCAAGAGTCAATGTCCCATTCCCAGCCGAATGGCGGCTGGATAAACGGTAAGAAAAGCGAACAGTGAGACAGAGAGAGAGAGAGAGACTGACAAAGGGGGAGGTGCAGGTGCGCCGTGTCGTGTCTGTGAGTTATTGATTTTCCACACATATGTATCACACTGCCGTCGCCTCCTCCTCCTCGGCGGTGGTAGGGGGGGAATCGTGTCTAAAAGTCGCGCGCCACGGCAGACAGCGCGAATGCGTCGCTATTTTTGGACGCTCCACTTTTTCCCCCGTGAGCTGCTTTCATATTCGGGGGAAATTTAGAAGAAAAAAATACCCACAAAAAAAAAAGGGGGAGCCCGATGGCAACGGCATTCGTTATTTATTATGCAGACGCGACGGTAGCCCAGCGGAAGTCGCACACTTCCGAACGCACAGCACAACAAATGTTGCATCGCATTCAGCAGACGCTGTCGGAATTGGGTGGGTGGGGACCTGCCTACCCTACCTATCAGCATTAATAACCATTAACCGACTATCCTTATCCTGCCTTTCAGTGGAGACGCTCAACAATGGAAACATTCTGCTGCACTCGCCGCCGCACAACCATCAGCAGCAGCAGCAACAACAGCAGCGGGGAGCAGCTCTCTCGCCACAGGCCGGAGGCGGAGGTGCCTCGGGCAGTGCGGCCGATCAGAATATTCAGATAACCCAACCGATCAGCGCCCCATCCTCGCCACTGGCCTCGCCCGGTGCCCTCAACAGCAGCAGCGTCGGCAGTCCCACGGCCTTCGGTCTGCCATCGAGCTCGGCAGCAGCCGCTGCCATTTCGGCGGCCGCTGCTGCTGCCTCAAATTCGACCCCCACTCCGACCAGCGGCAGTGGATCGTATGTTTGTTCAGCTGGCGGCACCAACTGGCACTATGCGGCTGTGGGCGCCTCCAATGCCATCGACACGGCCGATCCGAATTGGCAGGCCAGCAAGGCGACGGTGCTGGAGCGCAATGCGGCCATGTTCAACAACGAACTGATGTCGGACATCAAGTTCATTGTGGGCGGGGAGTTCGGTAAGTTGTTCCCCTACGCACGCGTCACTGAACCCTGTCCTTGATCAATCTAAGTCTGTTGTCTGTTATCTTCCTTTGGACAGATATCGATCCCATTCAAACAATACCCGCGCACAAGTACATCCTAGCCACGGGCAGCTCTGTCTTCTATGCCATGTTCTATGGCGGTCTGGCGGAGAATAAGCAGGAAATCAAAGTGCCTGATGTCGAGCCCACTGCCTTCCTAACGTTGCTCAGGTAGGAGAGAATCAACACAAGAATTGATCCATATATATTTCATCCACATTTTGCACTTGCTGCTGCAGGTATCTCTATTGTGATGAAATCAAACTGGAACCTGAACACATCCTGGCCACGCTGTACGCGGCCAAAAAGTACATAGTGCCGCATCTGGCACGGGCGTGCGTCAACTATTTGGAAGTGAAACTGACGGCAAAAAACGCCTGCCTACTTCTCAGTCAATCGCGTCTTTTCGAGGAGCCCGAACTGATGCAACGTTGCTGGGAAGTGATCGACGCACAGGCCGAGATGGCGGTTAAGTCCGAGGACTTTGTGGACATTGACCTCAAGACCTTCGAGTCGATATTGTCGCGCGAGACCCTCAACTGCAAGGAGATCCATCTGTTCGAGGCAGCCCTAAACTGGGCCCTCAACGCCTGCGAGAAGATGAGCATCGATGATACGCCCCAGAACAAGCGGAGGCTGCTGGGCCAGGCGCTGCATCTGATACGCATTCCCACCATGACCCTGGAGGAGTTTGCCAATGGCGTCGCCCAAACTGGCATCCTTTCGTCGCAGGAGACAATCGACATGTTCTTGCATTTCACAGCCAAAATGAAGCCGAATCTCGGCTTCCCAACGCGCTCGCGTGCCGGTCTCAAGACCCAGGTGTGCCACAGATTCCAGTCGTGCGCCTATCGCTCGAATCAGTGGCGTTACCGCGGACGCTGTGACTCCATTCAGTTCTCCGTAGATCGCAGGTACATTGAACCGCATGCAAACACTAATTGAATCAATATTTCTAACTGCATATCTGATCTTTGGCAGAATCTTCATTGTGGGCTTTGGCCTGTACGGTTCGTCAACGGGCGCCGCCAACTATAACGTTAAGATTGAGCTGAAGCGCTTGGGCAGGACACTGGCGGAGAACGACACGAAGTTCTTCTCGGATGGGTCCAGCAACACGTTCCACGTGTTCTTCGAGAATCCCATACAGATCGAGCCGGAGTGCTACTACACCGCCTCGGTCATACTCGATGGCAACGAGCTGAGCTTCTTTGGCCAGGAGGGCATGTCCGAGGTGCTCATGGGCAATGTGACGTTCCAGTTCCAGTGCTCGTCGGAGAGCACCAACGGCACTGGCGTGCAGGGCGGCCAAATACCGGAACTGATCTTCTACGGACCAACCACAGTGACGGCCTTAAACTCGCCCACCAATTCGGTGTGTGCCACACCAATTGCAGGGGGAGCCACAGCAGCTGGTTCAGCGACTGCCATTGCAAATGGCAGCGGCAGTGGAACGGCATCGACAGCCGCTGGCAATAATGTGAACAGCTCTGGCGAGGAGCTGGGCGGCAGGGAGGATGGAAGCACCTGATGCGCGCAGCTCTACTGCGCCGAGTGGCAGGGATCTTGCTACTATCGCCAGCAGCAGCCGCAACAGAGGAGACCAACACAGCAATACAAGACACAACCACAAATACAAAATAGAAACTCATGGGTTTTCAGTGCAACACAACAAGGCAAATTGGAGTTTTAGAGGAATCTATATATAGCAGTTATAGACAAGTACATATATACAGTACAGTACATATAGAGAGTGCTCTAGTTTTCGTAATAGTCCTATATAGTCATATATACATACCCATACATACATATGGAACCATACACTCCTATATATACATCGCTACAGTGCGTTTCAAAGCTCATTGGCAGTTGTGTTTAAGCTGCAAAAGTAATTAATGGATGCATTGCCCATTGATGTGAGAGATTTAAGATTTCCAGCTGGCCTAAAGCTCTGAAACGCACTGTACCTAGTTTGTTGGCATATATAAAAAAAAAACCAGAGTTATTTTCAAAACGTAACAAGTTGAACATATACACCCCAGACCTACATATTTATAGATACAGATACGACTCGAAAAACTTATTACGTTCCACAACTTGAGGCGTTGCAGCGGGCGATGAGGAGAAGCAGCGATATAGAAGCGGCGCAATATACACATACGGAGATATATGTTAAATGCAATAAGCAAGGGAAAATCGGGCAATCAGTCAAGCTAAAGTTAATCAATATTCTAAAGTTGAATGCAAATGGAAGAGAATAAGCAAAACAAATACGATATATATACCAAAACAAATATTTTTTGCCAGCATATACCTAACATATATACATACATCTGATCTGATACTGATACTGATATATACACATAAATAATATATATATATATATATAAACTATACAGATAAAGATATACTTGAAGTAAAAGGGAGTAAAGAGCCATGTTAAGAGTTGCATACGACGAATTTGAAAGCAAAGTTAACCAAGTTTATTAAATAAGTAAATACGCGAGTAAACGAGACCTATGTCTTGTTCTCGATATATTACATACATATTGTAGCATGCATTATTTCCATATCGGTAGTTATTTCCCCTATAATATCTCTTACAGCCCACAAATATGCCTTTCCACTGATATTAAGCCCCGTACCTTTCACCCATGTATCCAATCCATGTATCTGTCAAATCTTCTTGGCTGCTCTGCGCAACAATCAACAATTTTATGTTCGACTTAAAAATTTCTTTGGAAATTGTACTGATTTTTTGCTGTTGCTTTTGATAAGAAACCAATTAATGTTTTTTGTATGCATTATATTACATATATATGTACATATATATATTTATACATATATGAACATGTATATCTTTGAATGCAGCAAGTGTTATCCTATATTGACTATGAATCTATTATAATTATTATGTACCTTAATCAATAAAATACATTATTAGATTTTTTCGAATTCATATTGGAAGTGTGCTTTCCCTTTGGATTAGGATTGAGAATATTAAAAACCAGACGACCAGACCAGACAAATACAATGGAATTTCGCCTAGATCATTGTCAATATTATCTACAATCAACAGCACGCTTTCTCTAGCTCGTTTGCTAACTATTTGAATATATAAAACCTGGTTTGCTGTGTTAGCTATGGATACTCAAAAAATGTTACACTAATTTTCTCTCGATTGGCATCCTTACTGGCTGGCTCTCATTTCGGAAATTACCTTCCCATTGAAAATTACACCTCGACCAATTATTAAATTGAAATTTGTTGGCTTTTACTCACCCACAGACGGTATGTTGATGCACAAGGCGTGTGACAACTTTAGATAGGTGCGTCCCAGCTCATACGAGCAGATCTGCTGCACATCGCTTATGTCGATGAGGAGATCTACGAATGAAAACAATCTTATTAAACAACTACGTCATGCCACAATCATTGGGGGGGGGCGGCGACTTACGTGAGGTGCCCTCCGTGCGGCAGGTCATGTACACACAGGCAGCGTAGATGTGGGTACTCTTGCGACCGCGGGTCAGGTGACGACTGAGCGCCATCTTGAAGAAGTTGAGAGCCGTGTCGGCGTAGTGCTGAGACAGCTGCAGCTGCTGGCAGAGCAGAGTGATGTCCTTCTTGGCCTTTTTGATAGTCACCTCGCGCGATTCTGTGCCCGAGCCCACTTGGAATTTGCCGTAGCCGTAGTTGGTGGCGCCGCCCGACGACTCGGCCGACACAAACTGACCTATGGCGGCGGCGCCATGGCCCACCTCCTCGAACTGTACCTCTGACACAATGAGCGAGTCCTCCAGCACAGAACCGCAGTTCGTACAGACTGCAAGGGAAAAGGTAACAGATGTCATTAAGAAAGATTGAAGTCAGAAGTGAAATTCCAGAGCCTACCTCGATCTCCACGAGCATTGTCCTCTTCGATCTCGTTGGATCCGCAATTGCGACACTTTAATCCCGTCGACATCTTGTTTGACCGAAGTCTTTCCTTCCAGCTGTGTTCAAATCTTTAGAGCTGTGAAACTGTAGGGTCTTCAGTATGCAGTGGGAATCCAAGCAAGCAACTCAAAACCACTAGGTTACTCCTCGGTAACGATGCATTTTCTTTTGTTTTTGATTAAACAATTGTTAGTTTATTGTCAAAAATTAATTGCACGCTAGCTGCCAGCTGACCATGGCCAAGCTGCGATTTACAACACTGCTTTCAGAACGAAGAACAACACTGAAACAGGTGATAAAGTTAAAGGTGCCGCAAGAAAAATATTCGAAAGTTGTTTCTATATAAAAGTCGCTTTATTACAAAGAAAACTGAATTTTGTATGAGTAAACTAACCGTATATTGCACATAAAACATTAATTTTCAAAAACTGTGCCATTAACAATTAAGTACCCTGCTATCCACCCGTCAGATTCATCTGTGTGACGTCACACAGCTGACACGAGGCCTCACCCCGACTCAAACACACACACTGCTCACGAAAATACCAAGAAATAATAAACAAGTTAAAGTCGGCATAGAATTGTGATTCATTTACGTACAATACCATACCATACCATACCCAAAGTATAATAATAATACACAAGAGCTTCCGAAATGGGTGATGCCGACCGAGAGATTAACACTAACAGCGAGCCGGTGAAGCCGCCGGTTGGCCTCCAGGTGATTGCGCCCGAGGATATGGCGTCCATCGAGGAGACAATCACAATTGATCCAGAGTGCTTCGAATTAGATCTGAATCATCGCCGCATTGAAAAGCTGGAAAATTTCGAGCCCCTCACTCAGATAGAGCGCTTGTTCCTGCGCTGGAATCTCATCAAGAAGATCGAGAACTTGTCGATGCTGAAGACCCTCGTGGAGCTGGAACTGTACGACAATCAGATAACCAAAGTGGAGAACCTCGAAGAGCTAACCAACCTGGAGATGCTGGACCTCAGCTTCAATCGGCTGACCAAAATCGAGAATCTGGACACGCTGGTCAATCTGGAGAAGCTGTACTTTGTGGCCAACCGGATCACCGTCATCGAGAACCTCGGCATGCTGACCAGCCTCACCATGCTGGAGCTGGGCGACAACAAGCTCAAGAAAATTGCTAATATCGACACACTGGTCAATCTGCGCCAGTTGTTCCTCGGCAAGAACAAAATCGGCAAAATCGAGAACCTGGACACGCTGGTCAATCTGGAGATACTGAGCCTGCAGGCCAATCGCATCGTAAAGATTGAGAACTTGGACAAGCTGACCAGCCTGAAGGAGCTGTACATATCCGAGAACGGCGTTGAAGTAATCGAGAATCTGTCAGAGAACAAAAATCTGGACACATTAGATTTGGCCAAAAACCGATTGAAGGCCGTTGGTAACCTGGAGGCCTTGGAGAATCTGGAGGAGCTCTGGTTGAATCACAATGCCATCGATGATTGGAACAATATCGAACTGCTGAAGGCAAACAAGGCCCTGCAGACGATCTACTTGGAGAGCAATCCCCTGGCCAAAGACGTTCGCTACCGATCCAAGTTGCGCGACATTCTACCCCAGCTGCAGAAGATCGATGCCACCATGTGTGTGATGCCGGGCCAATAGGCTCCTCCATACATTTACATAATATATATATTTAATACAACCGTTTCGAACGACTCATCCACTGGCTAGCCCAAACAATGTTACATATATCAAGTAATCAATGAAACCATGCGTTTAAAAATATATTAAATTACACATTAATTAATTTACACGATTTTAATATACATGTGTACTCCTGTGTACATCCCTACGAGTACTATTCCACATTTGAAAGTGTTGCCCGATTCGGCGGGAGCTTAACTGATAAGTGACGGACACCATTGCAAAGGTTTCTTTGTGCAGTCAGTAAACATCAGTAAAAAAAAAAAATAATAATTGGCTTATCATGAAATTTGTTGCTGGAATGCTCAGCTGAACAAAGAACTGAGGCATCAAGTTGTTTCCTTAGCGTCAAGTATGGTCAGGTGGTGGTGGTTGGTTGCTCATCACAATTGAACGGCGTAATAGTCGGAGGCAGTGACCTGATGCGGGCCACCATAGAAGTCCAGCACAAAGATATTGCGAATGATCAGCTCGCACAGATAGAAGTTGTGGGCTGCAATTGAGCATTGATTGAGTATAAATTAGATAGGAAAATGGAATTTCTTCTGATACACACCCTTTATCCAATTGTTTGCCGACGGATGCCGCTTTATGTAAGCGTCCAGCGCTGGCTGGTAGCTGCTATCTTTTGTATCGAACTACAGATGGAATTCGTTTATTATTTTGATGTAAATTTGGATGCTTTCGCCACTCACCCTCCGGACTTGGCCGCTGATCATTGAACGGGCACAAGTGGGCTCCATGGGATCCTTGCCGTGATCCTTGCAGTTCAGGGTCTGCTCCTCACTAAAAAGCAGCGTCACCTTGTTGTTCTTCTCCCAGTCGGGACCCGTGAAGTCCAGGTCGGTGAGCAGGAAGCGTATCTTGCCCGTGGAGTTGCCCTTGGCGTCACTGTCATCGATCGATATGATATTGACCATGGGATAGCTTTCCACGATTTTGTTGGTGGAGATGCTGCCCACCGCCGCCCAGTTAGCGCGGTGCACCAAATTCCTGGCGATCTTCGCGTGATTGAGTCCCATCTCGCGCTTGTACTCCTCAATAATTCTGGCATCCTCGCTGGGGGAATATCCTTGGGTTTGGCTGAGACCAAAAGCAAAAACCAAGGTCAGCAGCAGAGCAGGGCAGGTGTTCATTGTGGCTACAGGTTGGCGGAAAACTGTAAGTAAGAGCGTTCACTTTCAAACACCCACTGTGCGGGATTCAGGAAATTTGCAAAGTATTTATAAGCAGCCTTCATCTTTGTAGCAGTCCCAGTGCGTAACTTCGTGCGTGATTCACAAAGATTCACATAAAGAACAAAGCGACCGGACCATTTGTTCCGCTGCTTTCACATATTTACGCATTGACCTTTGGCGCCTTTTTGCTTTCGATTTTCTACGTAGAACTTTGCACGTAGCTCCTACACATTTATGTATGCACATCGCTTACCTTTTCTAGTTGAAGTGTTTAGTGTTCTGGCTCTGTGGCGATTTGTTTGCCAAATGACTTGCCCTGCTGCTACTACGCCTTTGTTATCATCACCTGCCTGCCCGCCCGAGCTACAAAGAGAACGGAGCCCACAAAGCAGCTGTTTTGAGCTGCTACCCACCGCTGGAATGGGTATATGTGTCAGCATCATTAGTTGCTGATTAACTAAGCAGGCAACTGGTTACTAGCCCGCCTTGCATTAAGCTATGCGCACATGACACATTTAACGTTTTTTCCCTTCCATTGCAACGTGCATGCTAAGTAAAAAGTATCAGCAATGCTATGCACAGAGTTAATTGGGGGGTATTAACTGGTCGATCCGCTCTACAGGTTGCTCGCACGCAGCATTGCCAGACCAAAATTAGCTGAGTGCTGCGGCACCCCAAGCCGATACAAACAGTTATTTGAACTCATTGTTGGGCTAACAGCTTGGTTTCTTTTATTTTTGCAAATTTTTACTCCATAAATGTATTTGATGTTAGGAATATCATAATATTTGTAGTTGTACATTTCGTTTTCCATTAACTTGACTTGGTTTAACATTTATTGTGGCAAATTTTTATGTTTTTTCCGTTGTAATATAAAACAAACAAAAAATTTAAATTAAAGACAAACGTTTTGTGTATTCATTTCTATGAAAAGTTCTTCTGTATTTATTACAGGGTGCGAATATTGTTTAACATTTATTTGTATTTGTATTTTTTGTATTTGTATTACTGTTACATTTACGATTTCATTTTTGTACCGTTGGAAATATACGTTTTGTTTTGTTTTGTTTGGTTATTACTCGTATTTGTTGTAATTAAATTACTTTTGCCAGTTTAGTTTACCCTGCCGCATACAGTTTGTTTGAAAAATATATGTACATACCTATGCTCCTATCCCATTGAATACTGGGGATAAATACATACGAGTATGTGTAGATATCAAGTGTGTTTTGCATTCACTTGACTTTGTCTTTGTTTTTGATTTGTTTTTTTTTTTCAAAAATAGATGTGTAAAAGTACATAGATCATATGATGCGTGTATGTATTATGTGTGTATATATGTTTGTGTAAATATATTTGTATGGATGTACAATAGTTAAAGTTAGTTTCGTTGATGTATTGATTTTACAATTTTGTTAAAAGATTAAAGCCCACTTTTGCGTTGCATTGCAGCGGAGCGTAGCTCAAAAATGTCTTACTTCTTTGTTCATTGTGTGTGAGTGTTCCAGGACATGTAGCTTAAGTCTTACAAAATATAAATCATCGTGTTTTTGTTGGCTTTGAGCGGTATTCAATGTCTGCATGTATTGCCAGTGCGAAATGGCAAAGGGAAATTCGACAGATTTCCTTCTATGCATCTTTCTCTCAAAGTTGATCCAAAAAAGTATTTTGTCCAGCGGCCCCACAAGCAAGTCAGTCATAAACAGGATATATTATATGTCGGACGGACCATATAGCATGTCCAGAAATGATTACCTGCTTAGGCCTCCGACACGCGCTCTAATTAGTGCGTATCCCGAGACCTTATCAGCTTTCTCCTGCCAGAACACTTTTTCAGTTAACTTTACGAATGAGCAGCATAGTTTCCATCTGCGGAGAATATATGGTATTTATGTATTTTATGCTTATCAATTATGTGGCATTTAACTCTTTGCCTGCCGTACAGATATCGTTGCGACAAAATAAAACTTTTGGTATGTAATTTTTAGGCCTGGTTGTGAGCCATTCTTACAATTTGCAATAAACATAGCTCCAAAATCTTTTTTTTTATTCAAATACCGCATTTTGGTTACCTTGCGCACTTTTTTAACTTTCACACCACCACAAGCAAGTGTGTCACACAGAGGATATAAGTATAAATATAATGGGGACAACTACATCATAAAATACATCCAAAAATGATCAACTGCTGGCCTTACTAAGATAATCAAATCAAAGCTACAGACATTTTTCTTCGCTATCGTTTCAGCGGATATCGAAAGTGAAAGTTATAACAGTGCGCAGTGTCACCAAAAGGCGGGTTTTGAATTTTTTAAAATCGATTTTTTGGCTATTTTGCAAATGGGAGGGATACGATCTATCTCTTTGTCCTGTGCAAAGTACAAAATCACTTTAGTTATGATAACTAAATGCATTGAATCATTTATAGTATTCATGCGCACACCTATACTGAAAGGTTTTACAGATATATTCAACATTTTTTTTGTTTTTCTGTTTTGCTAGTTTAACTCCATTTAAACACGTATAGGTTTAGTATTAAGTTGTCTGGTTAATTTAAGTTTAGGCTAACATACAAAAAGCAAACAACAGCAAGTCGGTCACATACATATACATGTATGTATAGTGGATATATCTATGTGGTGATGGCCGATAACTTGCCTGTTGGCGCCACATATTAAAATAGTTACACACACATATATATGGTTATATAATCGTATTCTCGATGACGTACATTTACAATTGAAAGAATATTGTATAGGATATACACATACATTTTTATATATAGTATTTGTCCCTCGTGGGGCGCACAAAAGAAGCATTTGCATTTGCAATTGCAATTCTTCTCCATGTCTTTGTATATTAACCCAAATCCCTATTACATACATTTGAGTAGTTTATGTTTAGTACATATCTGTACATATTTGCATAAGTTACTTAATAATCGTGTTAAAGTTCCAATACATTTTTTCGGCTACGTTTTACTTGTATAAATATTAATAATTTCTTATTAATTTTTAATTTCATTTTGTTTTTTGTTTCTCTTCTGCTTCATCATCATCAAACAATTCCTTGGCGCTTGCGTATTCTGTGTAGGTTTTTTTGTTTTGTTTTTAACATTAGATTTTGCTTTGCTTTTTGTGCCTCTCGGTTGTGAGAGCGTGTAACCAAAGACCAAAGTTCGAACAAAAGGTTTTAAAGCTTTCAATTAACTTTCATTTCGTTTCAATTAATTATTTTTGACTAGCTTGGAAGCATAAGTTAAATTAGAACCTAAATTTGTGTGTGGTGTGTGGTGTATATGGTGTGTCCAAGCAGCTTGGGAACTGTGACCTAAAAGTGTGGGTTTAACATAAGGTAAAAGCAAAACGGGGCAGGGCTGTTTTCAATACGCGGGACATTGGTATAACACGTTAAAGCTATCATTTTGTCGGCCAACGCACTCCAGTAGGTTTTACTCGGGATGCTTGGGTCGGAGGAGAACGTGAACCTGGACAGGAACGGGGGACGGGTACGGGAATAGGACTCGCTCAAATCGCACCATTAACGCCGATCGTTGCCGTCGCCCGCTACCGGCTTTGTATCACCGGGCGCCTTTTGCACCGCCTGCAGCTCGTACTGGTAATAGCAGTCGCTGCCCACATAGACGGTGCGCCAGACGCCGTCCACATCTCACATCTGCCGGTAGGGCGAGTGCATCTTGAGCCACTGCAGCACCAGGGACGGACCACCAGCCTGGATTTCGGGCGGAATGGTGCTCAGCGGACACTTGTCAATGTTGAGATACTTGAGGTTCTGGCAGAGGGCCAGCTCGAACGGCAGCTTCTCCAGACCGGGATTCTGATTGATATATAGGTTCTCCAGTCCCTCCAACGACCCAATCTCCTCGGGCAAAAACTGCAGGTTATTCTCGCTGACGGACAAATGGGTGAGGTTGCTCAAGTGCCCAATGCTGCGCGGCAGCATTGTGATCTGGTTGGTCTGCAGTATCAGGCGCTGCAGCTCGTGCAGCAGCCCAATCTCGTGCGGCAGAGTCTCGATGCGGTTCTCCTCCAGGTCCAGGATGCGCAGCTTACGCATATTGCCAATCGTGTTGGGGATCTTCTTGAGCATGTTGTTCGACAGGATGAGTATCTCCAGATTCTGCAGGTTCATGATGTCATCGGGCAGCTTCTGCAGCGCATTGGTGGCCAGATTCAGCTCCACCATGTTCACCCACGTACCAATGTCCAGGGGCAGGGCCGTCAGCATGTTCTCCTTCATGTTCAGCTTGGTCAGGCCCTTGGCTCTCGAGAAAATGCCGTAGGGTATCTTGTCGATGCGGTTGTGCTCCAGATTGATGCTGTACACGTTCGTGAACTGCGCCGGTCCGCCGGTGGGGTAGCTGGTGAACTGATTGCGGGACAGGGTGATGGTGGTTAGGCCGCTCAGACTGGCGAGCATGCCGTCTGGCAGCTGTGTCATTCCATTGCCCTCCACATTGAACTCGTCCATGCTCTTGCAGTTCTTCAGCGTGGCCGGTACGCTGCTCAGTCGATTGTAGCGCAGCCCCAGCCGCACCAGCGACTTCAGGTTGCCGATGCTGTCGGGTATGTCCAGCAGCTCATTGTGCTGCAGATCGAGGGCACTCAGATTCACACAGTTCCCAATGTCGTCCGGCAGATGCTCCAGGTGATTGTGCGACACATCGAGCGTGGTGAGATTCACCAGCGCCCCGATGGCACTGCCCAGCTCCCTGATCTTGTTCTCGCGCAGACTCAGCATCGTCAGGTTGACCAGCTGTCGCAGATCGTCGGCCACGGCGGTGATGCGATTGAAGCGCAGATACAGCGTGGTGAGGGTGCGCAGCCGATAGATGACGGCCGGGATCTCGGCCAGTTTATTGTGCCGCAGATCCAGCACCTTCAGCTGCTTGCAGTGCTGCAGCGACTCCGGCAGCGAGGTCAGCGAGTTCTCGTTCAATGCCAGATTGCGCAGGTTCACCAGGCACCCAATCTCGGCGGGCAGCTGGCCAATCTTGTTGCTGTACAGATACAGTTCGGTGAGGTGCACACACTCCTTGACCGTGCTGGGTATCACCGTGATCGAGGATTTGCTCAGGTCCAGTCGCTTAATGCCTGCACGGGGGAAATGATGCACAATGATTGGATGTTCTTTTTGGGAGTGGATGCTGTGGCAGACTTACCCTCATCGCGGCAGCGTTGCAGCGCCTTGATCACGTCCTGGTCCGCCTGGATGGGCTTGCTTTTCTTGGTGGTGGGCTTGGGCTTGTTCGATTCCGGATGCTTGACCGTCACCATTTTGGGACGCGTCTCGGGCGGCATAGTTGCGTTATTTTCGTTGTGTTGCTGTGTGTGGCTGTGTCCGTTGCTGCTGCTCGCCGGATTGCTGCCCCCGCCGCCGTTGGCCGCACTCTGCTGGCTGTGGTTGGAGTTCAACACTTCCTCGGGGCTGCCGCCACCTCCGTTGCTACCAAAACAGTGTGTGGTCGTCTCTGATTGTCCCTCGTTGTTGCTGTTGCTGTTCCTGCCGCCGCCGCCGCCACCTCCACTACCTCCTCCTCCTCCTCCTCCCCCGCCTTCAGGCGTGCCGCCGTTCCTCTCCGCCTGACCCGTGGATGATAACGATGTGGTCGATGCCGTAGCGCCCGAGGAGCACAAGTTCATTATTTTGCCCAGTTTTGCGGTCGGCGGCGACAAAGCGTTGCCCAGAAGTGTGCGAAAGCAACAGCCGCAGCAGCCGCAGCCAGAGGGATTCGTTGCGTTACCCTGTAAAAACGTTAACCACGGAGAAAGGGAGAGAGGCAGAGTCAGTAAATGGTGGAAAAGTTGATTACTCGTTTCGTTTATTGCTGCACTTTATCAATTGTGCGTCAGACGGAGAACAGAGCCCAATCGGCGACCGTGCGTCATCCCCACTGCCAAAGCCAACGCCCCTCTCCAGCCCCCCTGGCTAACCCGCGCTTTATTACTTTTGCTCCGCTACGCCACGCGCCTTATTAACAAGTTGACCATAAACTTTTCAGCAACTCTACACGCAAATCAATAATTAAACATTCCATTCCAACAGTGACGTCGAAAAAGGACCGAGTTGATGTTCCGCCTCTGGGATACCCTGTACGGTGTACAGTGTACACACCCCTCTACGATTTGTGACAAGTGCAAAAAACAACACGGCGAACATATAAGCCCCATATCTTGAACGTTGTTCCGGAGCTTTTCCCTGATAATGGCAAAAGGAAGAAGACGTGATAAAAATATAAAACAAACATGAAATTCGTGAAGATTAACCAAGAATAAATATGTATGATGTTTGCTAGCTCTATTGAGCCAATTTTATTAAGAGAATACATTTATTTAATTCGGAAATAATTTACTGTTTAAATGCAGCTGAAAAAGGATTTAAAGACAGGGACTAGATCGAATCGAGTGCTAATCCAATACCACAAAGAATTTATACTCTTTAAAGCACTTTACATCAATAGGTATGCCCCAACAGGATAGAAGAACCCGAACCCATCTATGGGATGGGTACGCCTTCTACTTATGAATGTATTACCCTCGCAGTTCCAGCGCTTTCCACTCCCATCACTCCATATATGTATTTATGCTCTCATAGAACTTTCGAGTGCTGTCAATAGCAGCAGGATACATGGGGGCGGAGAAGGCGCATCGCATGGCATTGGGTTGCACCCCACGCCCACACCCGCACACACACCCACAACTACCGAATGCCCACTCGCACGACAGGCAAATGGAATGGTCCTGGTATATATTCGTGGTAAATGTCAAGGTCAGTGTGGCAGTCAGACGATTCCTGGAAAGAGCCAATGCCAATGCCAGGCCAGTGTCACCACCACCAGTGTCAGTCAGCCGTCAAAGGTTGAAAGTGCACTCAATACATCACATCGCATCACCGTTATGCAGTGGCCAAGAAACACGAGAACCAACAAACCACAACTTTGGCCACACACAGGCAGGCAGACCTCTCCGTCTTGTGCGAAACTTGAACTTAATTATTATGCACAAAAACAGAATTTAAGACGCCCTAATCAAATTTCGCTGCTTTGTGCACATCCGAACCAATTAAACGGCCGCTCGCTCAAGTGGAAGACGCCGCCGTGGGGGATCAGAATCTCGGTACAAGCAAAAATGCAGTGGAATTGTACGAAGCTTACGATAAAGTCCCCACACAGAATGATAGATGGATAGCGGGTGGGGTGGGGTGGGGGGACGGGACGTGCTGGCTGGCAGCCTCTGATTCATGGTAAATTTCCATTTCTTTGATTATTATATTATAGCGCATTGTACTTAACGCATTGTTGTTGTTGTTTTGTCAGTGGGTCTCATAAATTGTTGCTCTTTTCTAGGCAAACACACACACACGCATATTAATTGAAAAGCAAATCACTTCTATGCAGCATTTAACTTACTAATTTCACTTAATGTGCCATCAATTTTAATCCAATGCTGATCTCCTAATTTTCCGTACTCAGCTCTGCACATTGCCGCACACAAAAAAGATTGTTATGATTCAATTTGCACACATCTTTTTGCTTGTTTGCCCATTTTTTTTTTGTCTTTCTGTTTTATTTTTGAATCGAACAGCTGTTCCTGGCAGTGTGACCGCAGATCGATCAATAAAATATACCGTTCGACCCTCAGAAATATGCCAACACAATATACCTACTCATTTTCATAATATACCGCAATGAGGAATATCATATTTCTCAATATTGATATTCGATTGAATATTATAAGGTAGTTATTATTTCCACCAGTGAACAAGTAATTTCACCAGATAGAGACATACATTTGTTGCAATATTGGCTAACTTTGAGGCTTGCTTTTGATGGATTGCTTATAAAATCTTGCGATAGAAATATCGAGCAAAATGAAGTACAGCAAAAATACGCCAGGTCATGCTCAAAACTGCGCTGAAGTGTTGGAAAATGCCAAATGAAAAGCTTGCACTTCAAAAAATAAAAAACAATGAAAGAACAATGAAACTTTCAATGAAATAATGAAACGCAGTTATCGGTATCAATGAAAGAACAATGAAACTATCAATAAAATAATGAAACGCAGTTATCGGTATCAATGAAATAATGAAACTGTTATACATAATTTATGTATAACACAATTTGGCACAATTTGCCAACATTGCAATGCAGAAAAGGAGGTTTTTCGCCCGAAAAGCAACAAATGACAGCCATCGGGCAGGGGAGTAACAAAAATAGTATACCAACCTGCAAGTAAATCGCAACCCGTGAAAAGGTATTCAGCGTGTCCTTGCGAGTCCCGTGCACTGGAATTAACTTTTTTCTTCCTGCGCCTTTTCCTGCCCGAACACACTTTCGCTTGACCCTCCTCTGGCTGCGGGATTTCTGTGTCTGCTGTGACCGTTTTTTGCTTCGCGTTTTTTTTTCTCGCTTAATTTTCACAGTTTAGTTAATGTCGAACGCGCTAGTTAATGGCTTAATGTGGAGCGGGAATGAAGCGGAGCGGGATGTAAAACAGTTTAACTTAATCCGGAGAAAGTGACTTAAAGCTTTGCAGAAAAATAAACTAAATAAAAACTGGCGATTTTCCTTCTCGGAGGTGATGTGACGCGCGTTCAGAGTTGTGGTTCGCCAGAGAGTTGCAAGGGATATATATATTATCCTTCTAGAACTTTGTACAAATACAAAACACGCAAATGCGTTCCACGCACAAGTTCCACACACGCGTCTGCGCAGTCTGCAGGCTGAAAATAACATGTAAAAATCACGAAGAAGTAAAAGTGACAGTAGAATTGATATTGCCGTTAAATTAGAAATTAAAAACCGTCCAACGAATCGCTAAACATATTTATAACCTAAAGGTACTTTAATTAATTCAATAACAATTTGTATAACATTTCAAAAACTTATTTCTGCAGAAGGGTTCCCAGAATGTTGTTCAGCTCATCGTGGGTTATGATCTCGCAGGCCCGTTCCGACAAGATTTGGTAGTCTGGAATTGAATATTGAATATCTAAGAGGAATCTGTGGGTCCTTGGCTCACGGCGATCTTACCCTTCTGGTACTTGCAGTTGTACATCCTCATGACACAGCTGCTGGCGAAGGTGCGTAGGCAGCCGTCCAGGGCGTTCAGAGCGCAGACGACACGATACTTCATCGGGCACACATCGTGGCACTTTTTGGGACCTGCACATAGGATGTGAAAGGCGGTTTCAGTTTTCCTGTGAATTTTCAATTAATTTAACATTTTTGACGCACCCGTCAAGGCAAACAGGGGGCCCACACCGATCCCGGCTAGAAATACACAAATGACGAGAATTTTGTTGCCAAAGGCAATTGGCATTTTTACTGGTAAACTTTTTACGCCGTCTGCAATTTTGTTAATGTGAAGGTCGAGCCGAAAAAAAAGTTTCTGTACTGCCAACCGAAATGCTTTTATATATTTCATCTGTCAATTGTGTCAATATTTATGTAAATTTTTATAAAAATAAAATAATAATATTCATGTTGGCTATTGCCCTCAGCGCCGCGACTCCTGCTGCCTGGTTCATATTTTTTGCCTAGCGGCCACAGGTATCCGAGTCTCGCGTGCACCGACCTGTCGACGCCTTCCTCCAAACTGATGAAATAATATCGTAATTTAATGCACATCAATCTCAATCTCAATCTGTTTCTGTCGGACATGCACTCACCCTCCCTTTTTTGACAGGCATGTCTATGCATTTCGCAGGGATTCCTGAAGCTGCACTCGATTTCAACTCCACTTCGCACCGTTGTACCGCAGAGGTACTCGATGCGTCTGTTGCACTCCGTATTGCATTCCTGGGCCAACACCAATGCCATCAAGGAAATCAGTGCTAATAGCATCAGGATGAGCTTCATCGTGGGGTAGAGTCTGACGGGGCTCTTCAACTGGCACGCGCTGGGCGCGAACTAAAGAACTTTTATATGACCAGATTTGGGACATTCAGCGAGCTCGTTTCGAGAACTGCATTGTTAATCTGGAAACAATAAATTCGCTTTGTTGGGGGTATTCTACATACATGCACATGTAAACAATGTTTATGTAATGCTTACAATATCAGTTCATTGATAAGAACACGTAGAGTATGCCTGTATGTGGTGCACAACATGATTCGTGCCTACTTGCATAGACAACATTTTCGAATTTACAGTCACGTGACAAAATCAGCGAAGCCCTGAGGCCAGTCGTGGGCACGGGCACAGGCAACAGACTATCTTATCCTCCGACCAGGCAAGAGCATGATGTATTGCAGCTGCACGAAATACGATCCAATCCATTTTCAGCGGCTGATTTGTCGTACAGCAAATTAATTTCACATTTGCCTACTTTTGGGGACTACTTTAAATAATATTGCTTGCAAAAAAAAAAATTCATCTCGCAGAATTCTGAGCTTGTACTTTTTATCTTTTATTTGTTGATTTCTTTTATTTTGAAATTTGTTTACCTTGATGTGTGTGTGTAACAACACATTTTACTGCCTATAAATCGTTTCAGACAATTTGTTTACTTTTTGTTTACCCGTAATTACGATTTTTATGAACAGTTTCCCAGGGATGGCTCTCCCACAAAGGCTGTAATTGGAAATCAACAAATTTTATGAGTTTAAAATAGATAAAATAGACTATTAAATCCTGTAACCTTTTGGAAAACTTTTATAAATACTGATATTTAAATGTTAGAGTTTAAAATGGCTATATAAATGTGAGGCATGGATTTTAAATGGTTTTATGTTACATATTCAAGACGATAGCTACCGACCTATATTATTCCGGCAGGCATATTGCTCCAACAGACAACGGTTGGGGAAGGCCAGAGAGCGATCACTGTTCACCCCGTTGCTATTGATGTACGGAAACCAGCCGCAGACTTCTGGACCAACGCTCGGACAACGCCTGGGGCAAAACTCCTTACACTTCTCCGGCGAGGTGGCACTCAAGGCTAACGGGAGGAGGGAGATCTTGTAGACTTTAAACAAGCTGCGGCGACGAAGCACTCACGTGACTGGCCTTGATTGACCCTCGTGCAGTTTTCGCTGCCAAAGATGCAGCCGTTCTGGTAGACGCGACAAACGCCATCCACAACCGCCCACACCAGCTCTTTGTAGTAGGGCGAGCAGCGAAAATATAAATTGCAAGTCCTGGCACAGCTCCTCGTCTGGGCGGCACTCGGATGCTGGAGTAATCCCACGAACAAGACGATGAGAAACGACAGCCTGTAGTGGCCCATGCCCATGCCCATGCTGCTGGTGATGATGATAACAGAGAACTGAATGTACTACCGACTAGATGCCCATCATTTATAGCAAACATCTGCACTGAAGCTCTGTTTAAACAGTCGATAACAGCTGCGCATACTAGTGCTCTCTATTTAATTGAATTTAATTCAAATTTAGGAAATATATAATTATCGGTATTCGTCAGTCGTTGATGAACAAAGTTTACTTAGCCATAAAAATTGTTTCAATAATTATAGAAATTATTGTGAATAGATATAATTATTGATATACTCCTATCTGATCTTAATAATTTCCAAAACTTCTACTTGATTTTTGTTTCAAAAGGCCAACGTGTTGCGGGGGCACTGTCCCAGGGTTGGTTCGCCCACATAGGCTGCACATAAGAAAATGTTTAAAGTTGGTCAGGACTTTGTTTGTGATTAATACTGATGCTGAAATAAACAAACCTTGAGCATGCTGGCAGGCATATTGATCCATCAGACAACGATTCGGGTAGGACACGTAACGACCGGCGGTGTCGCTGTACGGGAACCAGCCACAAACTTTTAAACCCGCACGGGGGCAGCGTCTCCGGCAGAACTCCTTACACTTCGCCTGCGAAGTGGCAACCAGAGCTATGGAATGAGCAATTATTTATGGCACAAATATACCCAAGTTAGTTTTAGTTACGTGGCAAGCATTGATTGGCCCTCGAGCAGTTCTCGTTTCCAAAGATGCAACCATTCTGATAGACGCGACATGCGCCAGCCTCCAATGTCCAGACAAGATCCCTGAAGTAGGGCGAGCAGCGTACATTGGATATGCACGTGTTGGAGCAGTTCCTGGTCTGAGCCACAGCTCCACCCAGCAGAGCGATGAGCAGAGACAACTTGCAGATGATTGACATGCTGAGTGAGTGTTTGTGTGTCCTGGATGTCAGCATATATACTCGCAGCTTGAAATCTTTTTCATTTATTGTGATCAGCCATCGATGTGTGAACAGCTGTGGATCTTTGTTGCCTCTTTATTATGCCATCTGTTTAAATGGAAATAATTAAAATGCCATGCAAAGTACACAGATCAAATTTATTACTCAACTTGCGACAGCGATTGTTGGCAGTCAAGTAGCTATTTCGGGTACATCTTCTCCGATCCATAGACAGCAGAGCGCGTTTGAGTCGATGTATGCGAGTGAGGTTTGAGCTCTGAGCGTGACAAACCGACAGCAGAATAAAGCAGATACAGCAGCACCAAATAAAACAAGCTTTCATCCTGCTTGAAGATTTGCAAATGAATCAAATGCAACTACCAACCATATTGATTCCCAATTTTCCGGCTGAAAATTTGCAATTTTCCATCGATTTAAGCCAGTTGCGAGACAGTTAGTTGGGGAAAGAGCTACACAAAGATCATCTTCGTGGAGTGCGTTAATGGTTTTGGAATATTTGAAAGTCATTGCCTTTGGGTGGGAGGGTTTTGCTACAGATAGTTTCCCGGCATTTCTTTCGTTTCGAAAGTAAAATCAAAGCACGCGCATGTTTTGTTTTTTGTTTGCTGTTTGCTGTTGGGAGTTTTGATTGACTTTGTCTGTTTTTGGTGTATCAATTTGGAGCAAAAAAGCAGCAAACAAAATGTTCAAACTCCCCAAGTAATAAATCTCTGGAACTGTCAGCTCAACGACACCGTGTGAGTGCCAGTGTGCGTATCTGGTTGACCAACTTCAACGCCCACCCGTCGGCCTGGTCTGGCTCGGCCTGGTCCGGCCTGGTCCGACTGGGCTGGACTGGGCTGACATGACAAGCGTCTCGAAGCCAAGTGAATGGTTAGCCCAAAGTGCTGGCAGGCATTATTTACATTTATTTTGAAACTCTTTTTAATAAAGTTCCTTGGCAAGCTCGTTCTTTAGGCCATGCTTAAAGGCCACTTTGATTTGTCGATTCGACTTCGGGTTTATAAGCAGGAAAACATTTTGATGGCATCTCCTTTTTCGCGTCTTCTTCCGCCCCACAACATATATTTTCTTTACCTTTTCTTTGAAAATTAATTTCTTCTTTTTCTTTTCTTTCCGTTCTTTTCGAATGTGCGCTGGCTGGACTGGTATTGGATTCCTTTCCAAGTACTTAACGTAGCGAACCTCGGATGGATGATGATGGACAGTCATGCCCGATGACCGCATGAAGACATGCTCTTTGACGATCCGTTGACTGAGTGTCCGCTGTATGAGCCAATATAGCATCCACACCCACACAGCCGGCATGACCAACTTTCAATTGAGAGTGGAGTGGATTGATCTGTTTGGGGGAGTTCAAGTCGTTGACGAAACGAATCGGTTGGTGCCATGAAATGATCGCTGCAAATTGAAATTCAAACCAATAATTGTTAAGCTGAACAGCACGTTTTCTGCTCAGACTGCGACCATTTAAGGCGATCCATGCCTAGCGCCAGGGAATTGTATTTGCCAGAAGGTTAAAGCTCTCAACCAGTTCAAAAGTATGAATGGTCCCAGTCCCAGTCGGCGGCTGGGTGTGGAGTGCTGGCGTTGGGGAGGCAACTGCGTAGCCTCTCAATAGCCGATTGATTGACAAAATCCAGAAAGGAAAGAAACTTGAACTGCCATTAAGGTTAAGCTAAATAAAATCGTTTTGTGATCTTAAATTAAAATGAATTTTTAACAGCTGTTTCTGGGGGCGTTGATCTGTTGACAGCGATAACTCATCCCTCGGCGTCTGCCCTATAAAAGCTCATCTGACTGGCGGTGATCAGCCAGAACATCTGCCCCTACACTATAGCAATGAAGTCGTTTGTTCTGCTCCTTGCACTGCTTCTGGCCTGTACACTCATTGAGGCCCAATCGGAGGCGAACTGTCCCTCCATCTGCCCGGCAGTCTTCAGTCCAGTGTGCGGAGAGACCCGCAAAAATGGCCGATTGGTGCGCTGCAAATTCAGCAATGGCTGCCAGATGGGAGTCAGCGCTTGTGTCAATTGTTTGAGTAAGTTTTAAATTTTAGATACCTTAATTTGCACTATGAAACTGAAACTGATATTCATCTGTTCACAGAGTGGAGCGAGACGAGCTTGAGCGAATGCAAAGCAACCGCAGACATCTGCAGAAGCTTGGGAGGATTCCAAACACAAGCAGGCAGAAAATAACTTTACAGACCACCAACTCTGACGTGGGTTTGCTCTGCAAATATTATCGTATTTTTGGCGGAATAAAAGATGATTGTTTTGGTACCAAAATAAAATGATGTTTGCATATTTTTTATGTTTACTCGACGTAATTAAAACTTTGGAGTTGAGGGCGTAGAGAATGAAAGAAAATAAATTAATTTCAAGAATGTGATGGTCTGATTTTATATCTTTTAATTAGTTTTAGGTTCGAATATATGATGAAGGGATTAAATTTCACTTTCAGATATATTTTTCCTCGAGTATTGAATTTTTAAATAAATATTAAAGATTTATTTCAAAATGTTTTTCCTTATGTTTTCGATTTATTTGCGACTGACATTGGTAGGTATTTAATAGAGCCCATGGCCATATTTTTCCATTTGGAACATAATTTTTGCAACTCAAATATTTAAAGGCAAAGATCGTGAATGAACTATTTTTAGACTGAATTGTCTTTGACTTAGACTCAGACTTAGAGGTGTTGCTATTTACTCTTTCTCTCACGTTGGTAGCTGGGATATTCCGCTAACAGCTGTTTCGCAGCGACCTTGGCTAACGGTTTTAATTTTATTTAGACTAGACCAGCGACTATAAAACCAAATTGACTCGAATGGCCGGGCTTAGTGGTTCCTTAGCTCTCGAAATTAAGCCTCAAAATGCGCCTCAAACTGCTGCTGTTCTGCGCTCTCGTTTGCCTCATCGCAGTCCTGGCCGAAGGCAGGGATCGGAGGGCAAACAGATCCCACAGATCCCTAGGACTCAGGCAGCAGAGGGCGAGGGCTCAACGTAGTGTGCGGCAGGGCAGCAGGCAGTCTGCCAGAGCGAGAACCAGCAGCGGACGCAGACTGAATGCCGTCAAGAAGAGCAGCCGGAAGAGCAGCCGGAAGAGCAGCAGCCAGCGAGTCCGGCAAACCAATGCCAATGGCAATGCCAAATCAAAGGCCAACACAGCAGCCGCTCAGTCCGTGAGCAAAGGATCGGGCTCTATCAGCGTGCCGATCGACTTTCAACAGAACTTTGTACGCACCACAGACAATCTGCGATGGGAGAAGTCCTTCCTCGCCAGCCGCTATGGCCAGAGCTTCGCCAAGACCACGGGCAAGACCACACTGACTAACACGGCCAACATTGAGTACACCTGCAAGATGAGAATTGGCACACCGAAGCAGATATTCACAGTCCTGCCCGACACGGGCAGCTCCAACATCTGGGTGCCGGGGCCCAAGTGCAAAAGTGAGGCATGCAGGCGACACAAGCGATACCGTCCGGGCAAGTCCAGTACCTATGTGAAGGACGGCACCGCCTTCGCCATCACCTACGGCGCCGGCGAGGTCGAGGGCAAGCTGGCCACGGACACCGTGGGCGTGGCGGGTCTGGCTGTGAGCAACCAGACGTTTGCGATGACCACCAAGGAGCCGGGCAGCACCTTTGTGTCGTCCGAATTCGATGGCATCCTGGGCCTGGGCTTCCCCAGCATTTCCGTGGATGACGTGACACCGCTGGTGCAGAACATGTGCGCGCAGAGCGTCATCTCGAAGTGCGTTTTCAGCATCTGCATGAAGGGCGGCGGCAGCTCGAAGCGGGGCGGCGTCCTCATCTTCGGCAGCACGGACACCAGTGCTTACACCGGCTCCAATAGCTACACCTACACGCCCGTCACCAAAAAGGGCTACTGGCAATTCGACCTGAAGGGCTTTTATTTAGGCGACACGAAGGTGAGCGGCAGCACCCAGGCCATTGTGGACTCGGGCACCTCGCTGATCGCAGCGCCCACGAGTGCCGTCAACAAGATCAACAAGATCCTCGGCTGCACCGTCACCTCCACCGGCGAGTGCTGGATGAAGTGTGCCAAGAAGGTGCCGGATGTGACATTCGTTATAGCCGGCAAGGAGTTCGTCATGGCGGGCAACAAGCTGAAGCTCAAGGTGAGGACCAACAAGGGCAACACAATCTGCATCTCAGCGGTGAGCGACATGGGCACAAGCTTCTGGATTCTGGGCGATGCCTTCATCAGGCACTTCTGCACAGTGTTCGATGTGACTGGCAGCCGCATTGGATTTGCTGCCTCATCTTAAACTTAATTTCCATGCGCTGCAAATTCTGTTGGGACTGATCTCAAATAAAAGCTGTCTGTATTTATTCCACAGGGAAGGATGCAATTTCTTGTCCACTATTTTCCGCTAATATTCTGTATTAGCAACCTACTTAAACCTACTGGAGTCAGCTGCCTAGCTAATGAGTTTTACTTTTACTGTTCGTTACGTTAATTACGCCCCACAGATGCGCTTACATGAGCGAGCACCCAGATGGGGGGGCCCTGGAGAAAATGGAAGCTTAGCGGGCTCAGTGCTCGGTGTAAGCTCATCGAAGATGGCTCGAGTTCTGTTTTGTTTGCTATTCGTCGGTTTGGCTGTGACCTTTGCCAGCAATCGCCGGCTACGCATATCGCTGCATGCCCGGGAAAACCCAATGGGATCGCAGCTATCGCAGCGATTCCTCTCAATCAGCACCAACACATCCTCCAGCAACTCGACTGATCGCAGGATCCGCCTGCCCCTGCGCAATCGCAACAATGTGGAGTACTTTGGCATCGTGAGCATGGGCACGCCCAAGCAGATGTTCAAGGTGATGCTGGACACGGGCTCCTCGAACACGTGGCTGCCCTCGAGCAACTGCGCGCGCAACAATTGGGCCTGCCAGAACCACAGGCGCTACAACGCCTCCAGGTCCAGCACCCACGTCCAGGACGGGCGCAACTTCACCCTCTTCTATGGCGCGGGCAGTGTCATTGGCTACCTCTCCAAGGACACGTTGCACTTCGGCGGCACCCAGCTGCCAAACCTGACCTTTGGCGAGGCCATGTTCCAGTATCAGGAGGTGTTCGATTCGGTGATCTTTGACGGCATTGTGGGCCTGGGCCTGGGTGAGCGGGCCTGGGCCAATTCGACGCCCTTCCTGGAGCTGCTTTGTGCTCAGCAGCTGGTGGAGGAGTGTGTCTTCTCCGTGTACCTGCGACGCGTGCCGGGCTCCATGCGAGGCGGAGAAATCATGATCGGCGGCATCGATAAGTCCCGCCACAGTGGCTCCCTTCACTACGTTCCCATCACGGAGTACGGCTACTGGAAGTTTGAGATATCCAAAGTGTCCGTGGGCATGGAAAACATCGATATGGCAGTGAGCGCCATCCTTGACACGGGCACGTCCAACATCCTGCTGCCCGAGCAGAGCTTCGACAAGCTGCACAAGGCCCTGGGCGCCACGACTGACTACGATCTGACCTTCGTCACCTGCGAACTCGATGTGCTGCCAAATATCAAACTGCTGATCGCTGGCAGAACATTTCCCATCACTCCCCGGGACTACGTGAAGGAGGTGCTGCTCGAGGACAACATAAAGGTGTGCATAACTCGCTTTTCCCCCATCAATCTGAGCTTCTGGATACTGGGCGATGTCTTTCTGGGCCGCTACTATACCGTCTACGATGCCACAGAGAAGCGAATCGGTCTGGCCCGGGCCGTTCCAGACGTTGCGATAGCAGCGTAGAGTTCAAATCGGTCAAACGCAAAACAACAGTGCTTCGATTTCGGTGAATAATATAATTAAAAATGTATCGAAAGTATTCCAAATATATATCGGATATATCGGAACGGATTTGTATATTTTCCGTATTTTTGAGTAAATTAATAAAATAAATATAAATAAAAAATAGAAATTAAATAAAAATTGGCAAAAACTTTTGGAATCGGAAATTACACAATTAAAATTAAAATTAAAATTGTGTATTCAAAATATATATCGGATGTATCGGAACGGATTTGTAATTTTCCGTATTTTTGAGAAAATTAATTTTAAAATAAAAAATAAATAAAAATAAAAAATATAAATTAAATAAAAATTGGCAAATATTCTTGTAATCGGAAATTACACAATTAAAATTAAAATTAAAATTGTGTATTCCAAATATATATCGGATGTATTGGAACGGATTTGTAATTTTCCGTATTTTTGAGAAAATTAATTTTAAAATAAAAAATAATAAATTAAATAAAAATTGGCAAATATTCTTGTAATCGGAAATTACACAATTAAAATTATTATCTGTGTTTTCCTATATCTTGCTCAACGGATTGTAATTTTCCATTGATTTTAGGAATACACATTAAAATTGCCACCGTGCCACCGTGCCACCGTGCCACTGGAACTTATTTTGCTGGTGATTATTGGGGGCTGATTTGTTTATACGGCTATGTACAATTAAATGAGCTGTTTATCTGCCAAACATTGAAATGCGTTCAATTTCAACATTAACCGATTCACTCGACCGATTTGAGTGCCAGACAGACATGGCCCCATAAAATGACCCCATTTATAGGCAGTATAAAACAATCGGCGCAATAATCTGATCCAATTAGTTGGAATTAAATCTACGGTGTGTTCGGTCTACGGTTGGTCAGCGATGTTGCGCCTCCTTTGGCTGTTGTCCGTCTGCTGGGCCCTCTGCTGGGCCGGCACCATATCGAGGGGTCAGCTGGTGCGCATTCCCATGCAGTGCCAGGCATCGTTCACGGCCACCCGGCGGCAGCACCGAGCGGGCAAAACGTCCCTCTACGCCAAGTACAATCTGGCCAATAAGGAGGCGACGCAGCGCACCAGCGGGGCCAGTGAGCCGCTGGACAATCGCTTGAACCTCGAGTATGCCGGTCCCATCAGCATTGGCACCCCCCGCCAGCCATTCAATATGCTGTTCGACACGGGATCGGCCAATCTGTGGGTGCCCAGTGCAGAGTGCGCGGCCAGGAATGTGGCCTGCCATCACCATCATCGCTACAATGCCTCTGCCTCGAGCAGCCACGTGGCCGACGGACGGCGCTTCGCCATCGCCTACAGCACCGGCAGTCTATCGGGCAGGCTGGCCCAGGACACGGTCTCCATTGGGCAGCTGGTGGTGCAGAATCAAACGTTTGGCATGGCCATCCATCAGCCCGGCTCCACCTTTGTGGACACCAACTTTGCGGGCATTGTGGGCTTGGCCTTCCGTTCCATTGCGGAGCAGCAGGCCACTCCGCTCTTCCAGAACATGTGCGATCAGGGCTTGGTGGACGAGTGCGTCTTCTCCTTCTACCTGAGGCGGAACGGCAGCGCCCAGCAGGGCGGAGAGCTGCTCTTCGGTGGCATCGATACAAGCAGATTCACGCCGCCACTCACCTACGTGCCCCTCACCCATGCCGACTACTGGCAGTTCCAGATGCAGAGCGTGGAAATCGATGGCAAGACCATCAGCCAGGGGCGTCAGGCCATTGCGGATACTGGCACCTCGCTGCTGGTGGCCCCGCCGCGAGAGTACCTGATCATCAACAGCCTCCTCGGGGGTCTGCCCACGGCCAGTGGCGAGTACCTGCTCCGCTGCTCGGACACCGATCGCCTGCCGGAGATTGTCTTCGTGATTGGGGGCCAGCGCTTTGGCCTGCTGCCGAGGGACTACGTGATGCAGGTGGCCAACGATGATGGCTCCGCGGTGTGTCTGTCAGCCTTCACATTGATGGACACGGAGTTCTGGATTCTGGGCGATGTCTTCATCGGGCGCTACTACACGGCCTTCGATGTGGCCCAGAGGCGAATTGGCTTTGCCTCAGCCGCATAAATAACACGTTATGACGTTTTGACATTTTGTAGCCTGTATTTCTATTTCCTACAAAATTTTGGCCAGAGAGAGATAGTTAGAGAGAGAGAGGGTGTGTTCCGAAGAGAGTTGGGTTGGGTTGGTCAATAGAGAGCAGCTAGAAACCAGTTTGCGGCTAAAACAGCTGACAAAGTCACGTTCAGGTTCGGCGAGCCCATTGAATATATTGGCCACGTTACTCATTCACTTGGCTCTGGGGTATATTTGGTACACTGGGTTCCATTACCCATTACCCATTACATTTGTTATCTGACAAATACATTATTTTGCCACAAACTCGAGAAACAATCGGTCAGATATTTTATTATTGATTTCCAATCACTGAGTATCCCCCTCGGCGAGCCCTGCCTATTGCTCCCCTATAAAGTTTTTTTTTTGGTATCACCTGAAACACATGTATATATGTAGAAGTCGCGGAAAATTCCCCCACACACGTCAGATATTGATACTAATGAATATTTCGATAGCCCCGGTCGCGCCCCCTAGCTACAGCTATATAAGCTCATCCAAGCACACACCTGGCCGTAGTTTGTCAACAGCTAAAAGACACACTGAAAATGAAGTCATTTCTCTTGCTTTGTGTTGTGCTCGTTCTGGCTGTGAGCCAAGTCAGTGCCAATTGCTCCGGGGACTGTCCGGACACGGAGGAGGTTGTCTGGGCTCTGAGCCCCGATGGTGGCGTTTGCAATGTCTTTCGGAACAAGTGCTTCTTCGACAAGGAGAACTGCACGCGCAAGCCACGTAAGCAGATCAGTTGATCGCTTGGATTAGTTCTATAAATATAGACTTCTTATAGCCCTGACCCTCACCACCAAGGAGGAGTGCCAAAAGAAGTGTCCGGATGTATGTCCCGCGATCTATCAACCCGTCAATGTCCTTGACTAGGGGCAGTACCGCACCTTCAGCAATGAGTGCGTGAAGAATGCTCACACATGCCGCACTGGTGAAAGTAAGTTTACTCTGCACAACATTTCCAGAGTGCCCATTAAATATTTCTAATTTATTCACTTGCAGCCTTTTTGTAGAATAACCCCCCGGAAGATTGCACTTTATTTTGTATAAACATAAAGACGACTAAAATAACTTTGAATATTGTTTGTTTGTTGGGTAGAGGTTTTATCTTTATCAATGGGTATCTCGTGGGCGAACATTCTTCTCTCTGCGACACCAAAACCCGATTCGCACAGCAGAAAAAGTCCCCACATCTGGCACGCCTGTGACGTCTCCGCTTGTATTGACTTTGAGAAACACTTCCATGGACCTAGATAGAGCTGCCAGTATATAAGCGCATCATTTCATTGGGCTGGAGTTAGTTCTTCTGCATATTCTGCCTCCAGCAGTTCGAAAGTGATATTTCCTCAAGATGAAATCGTTTATTTTGGTGTCTCTGTTGCTGGTCCTAGCTCTGACCCAAGTCTGCGCCAATTGTTCCGGGGACTGTCCGGAAACGGAGCAGGTTGTTTGGGCTCTGAGCCCTGATGGTCGAAGTTGCAGTGTGTTCCGCAATGAATGCTACTTCATCAAGGCGAACTGTGTTCGCAGGCCAGGTTCGCAAATCAGTTGAAGTCCAAGAATTATTCTATAAATAATTGTGATTCCCACAGCCCTGACCGTCAGCACCAAAGAGAAGTGCCAGAAATTCTGTCCCGATATCTGTCCATTGTTGTATCGTCCCACAACGGGCAATTACAATGGTCAGGTTCGAGAGTTTAGCAACGATTGCGAGAAAAATGTCCACAGCTGTCGCACTGGAGAGAGTAAGTGTGCCTTGGAATCACGTTCAGAAAATCGCATATAACCAACATATATGTTTATTTTTTAATTTCGTTACAGCCTTTTTGTAATTTTAATTACTGATGGGCTTAAATAAAGCAATTTATCAGCAATCTGTATTGTATCCGAAAATCTTAGCATTTAAGGGGATTGAACTTAGGGGTTAGGGGATTTCATGTCATACTTTAGCTATTCGCATGTTCAAACATTTTTTCTGCAGTTGAACAAACGATGATTTCATTTAATTTTTATCGAAAACAACTTGCTTTTATTTATTCTACATACATATGTACATATGTACTTTGCAGTGTATTTTTCTATATGCCAAATAAACATGTCATAATTTGCGTGCTTCTTTGATGTAGAACTTTTGCACAGCTTGCACAATATTCTCATTGATATTGGCCATATTTTGCTCAATTCGTGAATTATAATTTCTGCAGATAACATTTAATTGAATATTCAAAAGAGAGATCACAAAGGCTTTATTTTAGGTATTTTGTTAACATTTCCTTGGAAATAATTTATTTAATTCATTTAGAATGTCAGCACGTTGTCTATCATAGATCTTCACAATAATTTAACAACAAAGAGAATTAAAACCCCGAGCTCAGCACTAATAAGCAGTTAGTTTCATTAGGTTACTATTATTAACCCGCCAATTGCAAAGCTATTAATTTTATTTTACTTATATTAAAAATGTTGAATGTTCTTTAAACTATAATGAATCAGAAAATTGATTAGTATTCGAATTTAGTAAAAATTGAGCTGCACACTAGTAAATATTTAAAAAATATAAATTTAAATAGAGTTTAATTGAAATATTTTTGGTTAAATATAATCAAGAATGAGGTGTTATATGTTCAAATCTAAATCTAAACATTGTGATAGTTTAATGATTTTGGCACATTACAAATATCGTCGGTTATTTTGCTTCGACCCGACATCCTTTTTTTGTCATTCATTCATTCATTCATTCCAAGAGCCAATGCAATTGGGTTGAAAAAACCCTAGTTGACAAATAGACGGTTAAGCTAGCAAATCAAGGGATATAATCATATAAATATTGACAGCAGTTGAGTGCGCTGATCAGTCGCTGGACAAGCAAACATGGGAATGAGATGCATTAAGCTGATTTTGGAGCTGGGCAGCCTGCTCACCGTTGTGGGATGCAGTCGGGCAGAAGAGCGCTCTCTCTTCGACTGCAGTGTGAAGTACAAGTGTTCGGCGGAAAAGGACTTTGTCTGGGCCACAGCTGACGAGCGCTGCTTTATCTTTCACAACAAATGTCTGATGAGGGTGGAGCAGTGTGCTCGCAGTACCAGCGGCAGATCGGAGCTGATCGAAACGGACAGGGAAACCTGCAAGCCGAACTGCGTCAAGATCTGCTTGGATTCGTACGACCCGGTGTGCGCGCAGATCTTCCAGGAGGAATACATCACGTTCAGCAACGAGTGTGAAATGCGCAACTCCCTTTGCGAGAACGAGAGAGGTGAGCAGCCAAATAAACTACTAGAATTACTTACTCTGTTTTTAAAACGCAAAATCCTATTCCGAATAGCCTACTCCTACTTTTCCGTGGGGGAATGCCCTGAGAGTCCAGTGGGATAGCTAATGGCCACAGAAAAAAAACTTTGTTGTAAGCAAATAAAGCATTCTCCGACTACAGAATACCTGTTTATCATCGCGGGTTTTAGCACGTGTTACTCTGAGTTCAGCTTACTCAGTCTGACCTGCTGGATAGGGCAGAGGACAAAGCTCTTGGCGCTCGAGGAACAACTGGATCAATGGGGCAACTCCGGTTGAATCATCCCTTTTTTTGCTTATGATTTATGTGTTCCGTTCGCTTGCGTACTTTTTGGTTTTTTGTTTTGTTTTCTTAGCTTGAGATGTCTTTGCAGTGCTTATCTTTTAATTAATTTTGAAAATGTTTTGGTAATTGTCACTAAGTTTTGGCTTTGCCGTCACACGAGTATGAGCTGCGGCTATAAAAGTGCCAACTTCTACCGAAAGCAGCATCATTTGAATTGCAAGCAACGATTGGGGATCTACAAGAATTTAATCTTAAACGCAAAATGGCCTGTTTAATTCTCCTTCTGAGTGCCCTGTGTGTACTTGCCCAAGGAACGCATCTGTCCCATGTCGGTCACGGATCCTTTCCCGAAGCTCATGGCCATGGGCATGTTTCGGTGGGACGCGAATACCTTCCGGTGGAACACGGAATCCCCATTCCTATTGGACATGGATCTTCCCATCACTATGGTCTTGAAGCTCCACATGCACACCATCTGCCGCTTGCAGGCCTAGGCTTTCCTCAGCATCACGGTCATATAATTGCACATGACTCAGTATCGGCTCAACATCTTCCAGAATCATATCATCAGTTGGCCTCTCCGGGTGCTTCCATTTATCATCACGATCATCATCATCATCATGGGGGATCGGCTTCCATTTTGGCTGGAACTGGACATGCTCATGTGCATCATAATCGCAATTGCCATGCCACCATCCAGTGTCCCAATTCTGTGAGTCCGACCTATGCATCCGATGGACATTACTGCTATAAGCTTAACAACCCCTGCGACCTGGCCATTGCCAACTGCAAGCGTCGCAATGAGCTGAAATCCGGTAAGACTTAACTTTATCTATCTTCTTACAATTTTATGTTTTATATTTCTTTTCTTTTTCTTTGCAGTCCTAAGGCATATCAGTCATGGCGAGTGCCATCATCTGCCTAGAAGTCAGATACCCTACTAAGTCCGCCCTTAACAAGATGAATAATCCACTGACCAAACAAGAAACTACTTGATATATTTTCTGTTACTTTTTCTGTTAAAAATAAAGGCATTTTTTAAAGAATTGTTAAATATATAATAACACCGAAATTCTAAGAGTTATCTTTCATTTGATATTTCCTTTTCAGTCCACTTTTCCACGGCTAGAATGTTTACGCTAGAAAAACTTGCGTAGTAGTGACCTTTAGTAGAACAATAAATGAACATTTCGGATATTTCGGATTCCGGATTCATACGATAATCGATTAATTGATTGATGGGAAGCATATTAAAAAATAAATTGTTTATGCGTTGAGTGTAATATTTGTAGTAGTAGTAGTTTCTTTATTTTTTAATTTTTATTAAGAATAAATATAAATATAAATATATACAATTTTCGAACTATTCTGCTGGCGTGGCTGGGATGCCGTTCGCCCTATTAATATTGTTACTTAATTTTATTTATGATATTTTTGCCTACTCTAAAACCGCTCTCTCAATACATTCTCTCTGTAAAGCAACATTTCCTTAACGAAATGTGCCAGTAATATTTGTATTACAATCGTTTTTATTCATATTTTTGTGAATTTTAATCCAAAGTTAAGCAAAGTTAGCGGGCTACCGGTAGCGATACTCGGTACTTCTAGTAAATTATAAAAACCCATATCTTTTTAGCCCTTTGATTATTCGATCTCAAGTTAATTGTTAGCGATAAACTAATTAATAAACTATTTTATAATAAACTATTTTCTACGGGTATTGTCTTGTTGTTTTGGCTCTTTTCGATTCGAATATCCTGAGGCATGCCTGAGTAGCTTTTCTATATTTTGCCTTTCGAATCCATGGGAATACAATCTACTATTTAGCTGTAAGTCCAAGTCCAAGTGTATTTCTGAAACTTGTTCGGTATCATGTTTATAAAGATCCCAGAATGTCGAGATTAAAAAAAGTCAGATTGTCATTTTAGAGAGTTGAAAGTGCAAAAAACTTTTATGAATGTGAAAAACTGGATGAATGGGAAATATCCAGTGTAAGTTTATTTTTTGTGCCCACATACCGCAACAATTATTTTATATTTACTGACTTATATTGATAAAATCTTTTTACATGTAAGTCTCATCTTCCAAGATATATATAAATATATTTAATAAATAAAGTTTAAAGTTAAGGCTCTGGAATAAGGTATAAAAGTTCTCGGATTGGCCAGAAGCAGCATCAGTTGTCTCTCGAGCATTCCATAAGCCTTTTCAAACTCAATTAATCAAAACTAACAGAATTATAAAAATGGCATTCCGTATTATTGCTGTGCTCAGTGTCCTGGTCGTCTTGGCCCAAGGACATCAAATTCCTTCTGCTGGTCAAGCATCAACCGTGGGATCTCGCAACTCCGGTGTCCTTTCACCTGGCTCTGGTGGTTTACCTGCCGGTTCTCTAGGCGGCTATCGACCTGTCATTGGATCAGCTATACCCCAGCCTCAGCGTCCTGTGTCTGGATCCCGGCATCAAGGTGCTCTTCCAGCTGCTGCCCTTGGAATCGGATCTCGCCCTCGCCACGCTGCATCACCAGTTTCAGCCATTCGTCAGCCTCAGGGTCCGCATGGAAATGTTCACCAGAATATCTATCGCCAACAGAAACCCTACTAAGACTACCCTCCACCCATTGAACCGAACACTCAAGCGAACTATGTATATGCCTCTTAAATATTAATTGCAAATAAAATACAACTGTATTTACATAATATGGCATCGTGGTATTCATAGATAATGGTACAAGATTATCTTCTAACTTTGTAGTTTCGCAGGTCCGGTAGACAGTATCAATGGAGAACACGTTGTTGGTCAGAGCACAGATCATCTTAACAAAAAGTATCAAAGCAATCGCTTACTTATTCAGGGAATTAAAAGTGCTTGCAAGTGTCACAAGAAGTCAGCAGCTTATGTGTGTTTGGGGGTAATTGGTAAGACACATTTTGAGAGTTAATTAAAGCAAGTAAAAATAACGAGCCGGTGTAAATATCATGTCAATAAATTTAACTTCGATGCATTACATGTCTTGCCAGATTAACCACTGTACACTTTTTTTTGGCCAGCTCCTCTGGCAATGTATGTATAATACATGAAGTGCTGGCCAGGCGCAGAAGCCTCTTTTCATACAATTATGGCATATCTATCATTAAGTACTAGCTGCCGTTGGCTTAATTGGCATATAGAAGACTTCATTAAGGCTTCCATTTCCAGATTTGACCAAAAAAAAAACATTTTTTGGTTAGGAGGGAAATTGAACATTTGTTGGAATGCATTTCCACATAGGCTCGCAATAAATACGACACAAAGTGCGTGGTAACCTTGCCATATACGGCTCAGGGCCAGTTTATTATCCAAAACAATGTAAGCAAATTAGGCTTACGATTGTCTGAGAAATTGCAAATCCAATTGCTTTGATGGGCGGGCAATAACCAAACAAAAATCGGCATCAAAAGTGATATGTCATGGTGGCCAAAACTTGAGTAAAATTACGTAAATTGGCCGGAGATTAACCATTTGAAAGTTAACCTTTTCTTATGCATAAAATGCGAACAAGCTTCGGGCAACTTATAGGTCACTGGAACATTGATTCGTATTTTATCTAATCATATGTGATATATGTGGCTGTACATTCGGACTCTCTTAGGCAGGCGAGCAACAATCCCTGGAAACCATCTCAATCTCAAGTGAATTACTTTCAACCCGTCAACACCTAACTTTTGGCATAAGTACAAAAATATGCCAGTTAATTGGGAGTCTGCTCGAGGTACAATTGCAGCCATGACTCATACGCAGTGTTGTCGCCAGCTGTGCGGCGATCAGAGTGTGAACACTTTTTTGATTATTTATTTGTATTTGTTAGGCTGACATGCAAGCGTTTGGGGTTTCGGGTTTGGGGTTTTGGGTTTCCAGTTTCTTGTTTTAATTTTAATTACAATTTTCGTATACAATTAGCTAACAAATCAATAAAAATAAGACAAAAATCCAACGACAGACAAACAAATAAGAAAAAAATTGTGCGAGTATATCAGCAATTGCCCAATCGCTTCGATCAAATAACAAATAACTTTGTGCCGAATATTGACATTTCGTAAGCATTTGAAAAGTGAACGCAGCAGCAAGACCAACCGAAAAACACAAACACACACAAAAACAAAACAAAAAAAACCTAAATGCAGTGCGTTGGTAAAAATCTTGAACATGTTAAGAATGCTGGCAAGGTTGTCTGCCAGAGCAGCAGCAGCTGCTGGTACTGCTGGCACTGCTGGGGCTGTTGGCGTGGGTCTTAGTCTCGATCCTCAAACTCCGTCTCAATCCGAGAGTCTAACTTAATTAAATTGGGTTTTATGTGGCGGACTGGATCGGCCATTTGGGGGCCTGCTGCTGGTGCGCTTGGCCCAGACGACCATGGCGAGGTGAGGCTAATCAAATGGCCAAATTGTAGGCGCGTTTACCATTCAATCCGTTGGCCGACGCGTAATGAGCTTTTTGTCGGCTACACGACTCCGTGGCGGCTATATTATGATGTACATGGACAGGGTCCGTCCAACGATAAATATCAATTAAGACTCCATCAAATGGCTCAATGGCAGCAAGAAAAATTGAAAACTAATACCGCAGACATGCTAATGTTTTGCTCTACATTGGGGCTATGCGTAAACAAAAATGTCACACGCCATTAAAAATTAATAGCATGTTTAAAAAAACAAACCGAAGAAACAGCAAATCAGGCGCAGTAAAGAGAGAAGTGGAGAAAAAGGAGCCAAACTCGATGCAGTCAAACCGGGTCGATAATACAAAAATTTCGGTGCTTAATGCTTAGACAACAGCGACGGTCGCAAACAAAAATTGAGTTAAATAAAAGAACAAAAACGTGGCATAAACAACTTTTCAAAAAAATGCGTGGTTCATACATTGTTAATACGGTTGTTGTTGCTGTTGTTTCTGTTGCTGCTGCCTTTGCTGCTGTGGTCCAAAATAGTTGCACAATATTCGTGCGTTCATGCAAAGCAATTGTCAAATGCAACAAAGCTCAAAGCCAAAGGCCACAAAATCGATATGGATTTTACTACGGAGAATGAGCCCCTGCCACCACAAGAAAAAAATCATTTTGCTGTGCTTAGGAAAAATTAATTTCAACTGGTTCGCATTTTGACGTTTTTTGGCCGCACTATTCGTTATATTTATTATTACATATATCTCTCATTTTATTGTATGCTCGTTCACTCACTCCCAATTTTTGAGTTATGCTGAAGGCTTTCCTGATTTGTCTGTGCGGCCTGACAAATTAAATTAATTGGCTCCAACTGATATGCCCTAGCTCGGACTGGGACGAGGCTCTAAGTGATTGGTCTGCTTGAGGTGCAGCTTGTTTTGGCAAATTGAAAGAAATATACGAAAAATACCTAGCTACAGATTGAGATTTCCTTTAGACATGGTCATGGAAGATTGTCGATTGTGAGTTCTTTTGGCGGTTGTTTTAGCTATGCTTGGCTGTCACTAAATATTAATTGTGTTACTCGGAGGTTAAAATAAAAAAAATATGTTCCTGTGATTGCGTTCCCTTTCTGTTTAATAAAGTTAGTTACTCAGTTAATTTATTTTATTTTGAAAGATCGAATATTAATATTAATTATTAGTAATTATTAATATTAATATATTAATAATATTAATATTAATATCGAAATAATATCGAATAATAATAGCTCACTCGTTGATCGCCATATAAAACAAGCGACCAGCAAGCCCTCCAGCATTTATAGCGAACTATTTTTTTTCTACTATTTTCAATAATTTATATCGAAGGAGTATTCAAATATCAGTACACAAATTCGTACACATAATTAAGCGGTAAATAATAAATACATTTTATTAACGATCTCTTCGGGATCTCTTCCCTGTTAAGTCTTAAATCTTAATTGTAATTTTAGTGTGCTGATTAATGGTAAATATTTATCACAATAACATTGATTGGTTTACGAGCGACTCTTGGCATTAAGTTTTAGTTTAGGTTTCTACCAATCAGCGGAATATAAAAAGAAAAGACTTAGGAAACGAACTTCACACTAGAAAGCACTCAAAAGCGCCGACTTCAACACACCACAAAACGAACTCAACTCGACTCAAATGAACTCAACTTTCACTCAAGCCCGACGCTAAAGCCAAGCTCAAGCTTCGTCGTTGCTCTTGTGTTTGGGCGTCTGATCGTTGAGTTAGCCGATGCCAATGGCAAGCCGGCAACGCGGCTGGTGATAACCAAAGGAAAAAGCCGTTGTATTGGCTGCTATCGCTGCTGCGGTCGCTGTCGGTGTTGACGCCGTTGCCGGCCTGGCCTCTCCGGTCGCTGCTGCGCCGTGTTGCTGTTTCTTCTTTTTGGCTTTTCTGTGGCAGCTTCGACCGGCAGCGTTCAGTTAATATTTGGACACACTCCGAGGCGGTTGTGCAGGCGGACAGTAGTACATGGTAGTAACGGTACCCAACACCCAGTGCATACAAAGTGATCTTCTCTGTGTGTGTGAAAGTGTGGCCGCGACGCGACGCGAAGCAGGAAACGGGCCGCTAGCCAGCAAGTGTTTTTTTCGATCGAAAATAAAAGAAGAAAAGAAAGAAAGAAGTAACCAAAAGGCCAGTGACAAAGGGTGAAACTCGAGAGTAAAAGTTGCTGCAGGGAAAAGCCTCAGTCGCGGACAAGTGCTCACTCCATTGGGTTCTCAGAAAGTGCAAAAGACTCTGGCAACGAACTCGCGCCGAACACTGCGGCTGCCGCGCCGAGCTCCCCACCCGTACTAACGCACCATCGGACCATCGCACCAGCCAAAGAAGGCTTAAGATTAATTAAGGCCAACACAGTCCGCATCGAACACAGCGTGGGCCATCGTCTCTGCTTTATTGCCTTGTCGGCCATAATTGGATTAATTTGCAGCCTGTAGCCACTGCGTGCGAAAAGTATTCGGAGACCAAAAATACAAAAAAAAAAAAAAACATACAACAAAAAGGCAACAGCCAAACGCATTTAAAGAAGTCATTAACAAGTCCAACAACGGCCAGCGGCCAAGTGGCAACGTGCAACGTCAACGAAATGATCTTAAGGTATGTAAGGTGTCTTGGCTTGGCTATTTTTTAATGAGCTGCATTCTCATTTTTGGTACAAATGTTTCCAGTTTATTTTCTAAGAAGCCGCGTGTGTGGCAAGTGGTCAGAGTCAGTCAGCGTGGTCGCACAGCCGACTGGTTCTTGACACATTTTTCCTTAACCATTTTTATGTAATTTTAACGCGTCTAGCGCTTTTGTTATGACAACTTTCTGTAAACATTTCTACCAAATTCTTGGGTTCTGTACCCAGTACAGGAATGGGTATGCTGCATTTGTGTAGAAGAAAGCATTTCCGTTTGTCATTTCCGTCTGTGTGTATAAAAAAGAATTAAAAGAACAAAAAATTTGATGTGCGAGAAAAAATAAAACATTTTGTACGCAAAGCTTCTCGAGGAGGGGGTATCTGATAGTCGGGAAAGTTGTGAAATAGTATTCTTATGTGGCTTATTTATTTTGTGTGTGCGTTGGTAACTGGAAAGTTCTGACTCGTTGGCACAGAAAGTTTTCGTTTGGTATGCGGCGTTCTGACTGATTTTGGCTGCATGATAAAACGGCATTGCGCCATATTAGTACATT